CGATCCGTAGTTTCTTTCGTAAATGTCATCTTTTCATATCCGCCAAGTCTCTTCTCGAATTACTTCGCTTGTACAGCTTCTCGTATTTGTTTGACTGCCTCTCGTAAATTCCGCTCGTATCGTTATCTCGAGCGTTGTAAATTTTATCAGACTTATTGGATTCTATCTCGATCCTCAAGAAATTCTGATCCTTCGAGGAAAACATCTTGTTCTTCGAATTTTGCAGCTCCTCGTTTCGGGATAATATAATGTTCGGTCCCAGATTACTCTTCTCAAGCTTGACGTTGTCTCGTCTCCTTCCACGCGCCTCAAGAATGTCCTCTGCTTTTATATCGGAATTTTTTTCTTCCTACGTGGTACCTTCTGTAAATTAGGCTTTCTACCTTCATCCTCAGTGACGGAGCTTATGGAAGTCTTCTTGGTTCTGGGTGGTCTTACAGGATGCGGTGCAGTCGGTCTTGGTGGCGGAGGCAACAAGCAACTGATCCTACTGCTGAGACTGGGCTCTCGGACGCTGGAAGCAACGGAGGCTAGACTGATGCAGCCGACTCCATTCGCGTGACGAGGTCGTCGCCGATTCGCGTCCAGATCGGCGAGAAGAGCGCGATATAACGTGGCCGCGGCTGCTATTGCATCTTCCTCGGATTCGCAGGCGAATGCGTGGCATTCCAACAGTCTGGCAGCCCCAGGCCGTCGCATCACCACGGCGAAAATCGGAGGATAAAATTCCGCTTCACTTTTTAAACCGCGCATAGTCCTAAAATCAAGATTAAAAATCTATTTATTTAATAAAACTATTTAACTATATTAATTATATGCATTTATTAAATATATATGCATATGCATTTAAACCTTATTGTAATAAATAAGATATTTAATGAAAAAATAAAATATATAATACACAATAAAATAAAAATATATAATAAATATGTGAATATATAAAAATATATAATATAATATGTAATATATATAATAGTGCTTGTGTATTCTGGATTCTTATGTCTCAGAAAATGAATTATCATGCCGTATTCCCTTAGAAATTTAATATTGGAATATACTGATTTATTACTTATTTTGAATATTAAAAGCACTGAACAATAGCGCTTTTAATACTCAAAATAAGTAATCTCTAGTATAATATTGGCTAGTAGTAAATTAAATTTCTGCGAGGATTGCCCACCTATAAAGATCGGCGTGCTTGTCTTCCATCGTTTGTCCCTGGTCTTGATCGCCAACTAAGGTAAAAAGGCATGATGCACGTCACCGGATGGTATTCGTCTTGTCATCGGTAGCCGCAGGGCGCTCC